GTTAGTGATGCTATTCGATATTGGGTGCATGCAAAAAGGACTGTGTTACCAAGAAGTTGACGTGGTTTTCTTTCTCTTTAGATTGCTTCCATGTGTTACAGAACACCTAACAGCAGAGATTGTTCAGCTCACCGTGTCAGATATAACAGGAGCAATTGAATGGATGAAATGCTCATATTTGTATGTAAGAATTAAAAAGGTATATCATCCTGAGCAAATTAATGGAGAACAAGATCTATCTGAATTTTCTGTAAAATTTTACTCCTAACGTTTTTCATTCAAAATATAGAATCCAGAGAAATATGCAGTAAGGAGAGGGCTAACTGGCGACAGTTTAGAGAGCCATATGCAAGGTGATCAATAACACTGGTAAACTATGAATTCCTTTCAAGTTCATCTAGCCATTTGTGCTCACCTAAAACATGTTTTCCAGATATTTGTGTTCAGAATGTGCATGAGTTGTCAAGGTATCAATTGATTTGGACAGATGAAGATGGTTTCCGCTTAAAGCCTCTTGGTATGGGATTTCAGAATGTAGTATAGCATAATATCCATGTTGGAAATCTAAATTTCTGCTTCCTGTATATGCAGAACCTGGAAGATTGATGACGAAATATTATCTGAAATTCGACACTATGAAGCACATCATGCAAGCCCCTGGGAACTGTAGCATAGAGGATGCACTTCAAATTATTTGCCGTGCTGAGGAACTTGCCTGTATATAATTCATACTCTACAAAATTTAAAAAATTGAGTAATTACAACTGGTGTTATATCTCACTTGCCTCTAAAATGAAGGGATACAACTGAGGCGCAATGAGAAGAAGCTCCTGAATGACATAAACATCGACAAAGACAATCGGCTTCGCTTTCACATCCTTGGGGACAAGGGGAAAAGAAAAAAGCGGATACAAACCAGAGAAGAGAAGATATTTCTTTTGGCAAATGACTGCCTAACAGGGGATCCTTTAGTCCATGATTTATCCCTTAGCCAGGTTTCGTCATCAATTTCATGTATTATATTACCATGTGCCAAGAATAATGCTTCTAATAGTCTTTTAATGATGTAGGACATGAACTCTATATGTGCAAATGGCTATAGAATTGCGAAGTGCATGAAAGAGTATTTCCTATTCAGGAAGAACTATCGAGGAACTTTAAATTCAGCACTTCTAGCCAAATCTTTGTATCAGAAGGTCTGGGATGACAGTCCATACTTGCTGAAACAATTGCCTGGTATTGGAATGGTGACAGCAAAGGTTTGTAGCTTATGTTCATCTTATAGTCCAAGTCTTGGGACAAGAGACTGAACCCTAAGGTTTCTTCTGACGTACACTTATCTTCCTGCATAGGCACTGTATTCAATGGGAGTAAAATCATTTGCCTCATTCTCTGAGGCTGATCCAAGGAAAATAGAGATAGTAACTGGAAGAAAATATCCTTTTGGGAATCATATAAAAGAGTCATTACTATTGTTACCCCCAAAAGTTGAGATGAAGGTTGAGGAAACTGAGAGCCAAAGGCAAGGGAAGTCCAAGGTTATGGTAACGCTGACTAGGTTGTCACAACCTGTGCAAACAGCTAAACGACATTATGCTGATATGGTATGCTAATTACAGGGACCAACTCGCATACACACTATTTTGTCTCATCTCGCACTTATTTTATTGTAGAATTTACTCTGACATTCAGTTGAAAATTTTCTGACAGGTGGTTGGCGTTGAAGAAGATAATCTGGTACTATTTCATGAGAAAATAAGGTAATATATTCTTAAATATAAAGTGGGCACTTTAAAATGCCATCATTTTTCTTGAAAAAAAAAAGCTTCCGAACAAAATAAGGACATCTCAAAGCATTTTGTATCAGTTCAAATTTAGAATGCCATTATTTTTCTTCAAAAAAAGAAGATTCCAACAAAACATTGACATGTTCGAAGCATGTTTATATTAATTCAATTTTTTAGGCCTCCATCATCTACTTTTGTATGACTAGCCCTACATTTTGACACCTTTTGAATGATTTGCATGGGTGTTCAACTTATGACCTAATGGTGTTAAGTTTCTCTTTAAGATTCTTTAGCCACTAAAATGACTTGAAATTTCTTTTTTTACCTGCAGGGTGGATGACTTTCCTAGGTACTCTCAGAAGCTTGGTCCTCATTTCCAGATCAGGCCTGAGAAACTGCTAGACTGTACCAACTAGATGATCAAATTCATGAAACTCTTTTGAGTGTATGTCATAGTTAGTAGTGATCGGCACTGATATTTTGGTTTTCTTTTACAGCCCTTATAGCAGGACAGTTCTGGTGCCAAGCCATCAGCAAGGGAAGCTGACTGTTAAAGCAGATCTGATATTTGATGAATTTAGTTAACTCCTCAGACATTCTATGTGTAGCTTCATTTATGTGTACTCCTGTGCCCCTGAGTGTTATCTGACTAGATCACATCATTTTTATGCAGTTGGTGTCGATCTCCATCAAAAGGTTTTATTGATAAAGGAGATTGGCCTTAATTTTGTGAACAAGTACAGAACCAAGCAGCTTTCTTCGTTCCAAGCCAATGATGCCTGCATCATAAAGGACACAAAGGGTGCAGCTCAAGCTTCATGCCAAGTGTCTCACACTTTACCTGAACCTGAATGGAGCTCAGACATGTGAGAGCTAACTTTTCCTTTTTATGGGCGTAAAGTATATGATAACCATGATGGTTGACAATATGACTGCTAAGTCTGTAGCCTCTGTTTCTTATTTTGATTTGGGGTATGCATATTAGATACATGACCTTATATATGAGAGGGCAGTTTAAGTTTTTAATAAATTCCGACTGTGTTTGATGGACCCTATGAAATAATTTTGTGGTGTCTGTTTTGTGGAAACTGAAGGATCCAGATCCCATCGTTCTCTCTTACGTATGACGGGTTGAATCTGCTTCCACACTGAATACTAACTGGCTTTTTGTTTCTGTAATCAGGCCCAGTTTCAAGCTAATAGACGAAGATCTAGAGGAAGGTAGCAATTAAACTCTCACATTTAGTGTTTCATGTACGTCAATATGTCACTGACTTCTGCTGCTATATACATCAATGAAGTGGTACCTGCTGCTGTGGTTGAAGATGATGAATGCAGAATCATAGACAAAAAGACTATATTTGACCATATACGTGAAAAGGGTAAAAGCCTCCCTGCTTTTACCCCATTGAAAGGTACATGTTCACCATCATTAGAGACTTTGAAACACATCATAAAGCGCACTCGCGAGGAGCAGCTTCTTGTTAAGAATGCTGTAGGAGTACCGGAAGAAGTGACAAGAACCAAAGTCCCACGTCGCAGCATGGTCATTCAATCTGCAGAATATATCGATCTAGAAGAAAATAGACCATTCTATAACAAAGATCAGAGACCAGATAGCCATCATGTCTCTAATGCCATTTACCTGGCTAGTGAAACAGGTAATGCACGAAGTCCTTGGTACTAATGTTTGTAAATTATATGCAGGCTGACGTCAAATTATACTGTTCTAGGTGAGCTTTCCTTTGAAACCAAGAGTGTTCCATCTGAAACAATGGTTGAAGAAATGTCATTCAATTATAAGCCTATGGATTCTAAGATCTTCCACAGCTTTGAGATTGTGAAGAACCCAGAATCCAAGTTACTCAGTATGGCCCATGAAACCTGCACAATGCACCAACCTGAGCATAATTCTGCCATATTTGGGTTTCAAGAGACAATTCCAACAAAAGTTGCACAAAATGCAGTAGCTAATTTGGATCTTGAGCCTGTGAAGACCAAACGAAAGGCAATTACAGAAATTAAAGAGGTTGATGATATAACTCTTAATGGAAACACACCCTGCACTAGTGACAAAACTGACCTTTCTTTAGTGACCTCAAGAAAAGCTGCACAGGAAAGATCAAGATTGTTGTCATCTTCAGAATCTTACGTTAATATGAATAATGTTGGATATCCATTACGTTCTCCAAGTTTCCAGGAACAACGGTGCTCTTCTTCAGCACAAGTGGCAGAGACCAGCCAAGCAAATCCCTATGGGTTTAAAAGTATTTTCTCATTTCTGTTTGAGTGAAGGTGGTTGTATCTAGTATGTTGAATCCAATGACTTCCTTTTCTCAACTATATTGAGAATAATGAGATGTCACTCTTGGAAGTACGCGTAGAAGTGAAAGATTAGCCGAGAAAACCTGTTTGGCCTCCTTTACTTTGTTTAATAAAATTACTCTCTCCACGATAATGTTCTTTCAGAAGAACTTGTATGGCTATTCTATATATGAGGCATAAGAATTTGTACGCTATATTTTAATTTGGTATAGTAGGTAATGTTCCTTGTTTTTTAGGCCTCGACCAAAAAGAGAGTTTTCCTGAAATAATACTAAGTAATAATTCAAAATCTAGTACTTTCGTGAAATCTTACAAAAATGCAGGGTAAGACTGCGTATAACACATCCTTGTGTTTCGGCTTTTCCTTGAACCTCGCGCATAGCAGGAGTTTAGTGCACCGGGTTGCTCTTTTTTAGTACTTTCGTGAAAATTATATTCAATTTAATAATTTCCTTGTTACATGTGGTGCCAAAAGGCACACTTCTATTTTTAGTAGGCGTTTAGACGTAAAATTTGTAATTTTTAGATAAGGTAGTATTTAGAGTTAAGTTGATAATGGTATTTGTAGTTTAAAATTATGTTGGGACATACATTTTACTTGGAAAATATTACAGTTTAGAATTTTTTTTAAAAACTTTCAAAATTTTATAGACAAACACATTTTTGTATTAAAAAAAAAAAAAAAGGAAAAATTTTCTAATGGACAAACGCGGCATTAAGGGACCCCCTCTTGAAAAAAGAAAAAGGCTGTCCATGCTGGCGATTCATGAACGCCCGGAGCGCAAGACACATCAGCGTTGACTTTCGTGATTTGGTCAGAACTGTCGACCACCATAACTAGCGTAAACTTCGTCGTAGCAAATATTTACCTCTTTCGGTGGCTGCTAGAATATTTTTCGGAGCTTCTAGAATTGTGTCACAAGGAATTCAACTTTTTTACCCTCTATTTCGAGCCCCTGTCCTTTTGCTTCTCTCGCGGCACCGTCTCACCGATTTGCTTTCTGAGGTTTGTTTCTTCCCTTCCTTTGAATTTTCGTTGTTCTACTCGATTTCCCTGGTTATTTACGTAGTAATAGATGTTTGCTAAGATTATTGCTTTTTGTTGCTTGATATTATAGATGTTTGATTTCAAGTTATGTGCTTGTGGTTCGCGTAAACTCAATAATCGGATTAAGATTTGGAAGAAGCAATAATCTTTGTCTAAAAAAGGAACCAAAAAAAGGAAAAATAAAATAAAATAATATTCTCTTTGATTTCCATAGGAGTCAATTTTGCTGTATGAGAAATATGCATGAGATATTCAGCATCTACTTCTATTTTTCTATATGGTTCGTTGGTAGAGAGGTAGGAAATTTGGATAAAATTTGATTTCTCCGTCACAATTCTTATCATTTTTGCTTATTGATGTCATTTTGAATAGTCTCCGAAAGGTGATCACTGATCAAGTTTCAATTTTTTTTTTTTTCATATCAAATAATCAAAATAACATTTTAAAACATTATTCAAAATGCACTAATTAGAATCTCTGAAGCAAAAATTGGCAGTCAGTTGAGAGTTGAGACAGAGGAACATGTTGCATGTTATTTTGATGCAACTTTTTTTTTTTTTTTACTGTTCGTATGTATGAGTAAGCGATTCAGTGTTATTACATTGAGACTGATTCATGTTTTACATCCCTTTCCCTAAAGAAGAGGGAAAGATGGCAGGTTCCCACGTTGCACATGCTGTGTACAAGGGTCCAAGTGTAGTGAAGGAGATACTGATTGGGATTACTCTTGGCATGGTTGCGGGAGGTTTCTGGAAAATCCACCATTGGAACAACCAGAGGAGAACTAAGGAATTTTATGATATGCTTGAGAAAGGCGAGATCAGTGTCGTGGTGAATGAGGAGTAGCTTTTCAATTACCTTTGCTTCAGCATGAAATTGGCTTATATGGTAAATGAACAATGCAAATTTTAGATGTTACTGATTAAGTGATGTGACAAAAATTAGAGTTCCTTTTCATTTCATGTAGTTCTTGAAATTTTCAGAGGAATGTAATGCTTTTGAAATTTTATGATTGAGCCTAGCATATCTGCCGTTTAGCATGAGTATGTTTTTCTGTTAATTGTCTATTTTTTCCAGCTCCCTTCTCTTGGGCTGTCAATTGTTAATAGAATCTATAGCTATAGTGACTCCTGCTCAGCAGCTTGTAAGTTGCTGCTTGCAATCATGAAGTTTTAGCTTCCAAAATCACCCTGAATCTGATAATATGGTTGTTCTACGTTAAGGAGTTGGTTTGCTTTGTGTATCTGGTTGATTTCAGTAGTTGATGCAATTGGAGAATTTTCAAACTCTGGTTTCACCTCTATGAACCTACCCAGTAGCAAAGCAACCTATTAGGAAGGGAGTTCAATCGAATCCCCTTCATTAAAAATCTATGCTGCACAAATAGGTCATTTTTTTTTGGTGTGTGTATGTACATTGTTGAATCCTCTTGACATAAAGGAAGCTTTTAGTGCAGTAGTAAAGGTGGTTCAGGAATTGCCATGGAGATGACATTCTTTTATTTTTTTAATCTCCTTGTTAAAATTCATGGCTCCACCATTGAGCGCATACGTACAAAACCATTAGATGCCTCTAAGTGCGAAGAATTGGTGTACTTGTGGTGGTCATAGTTGTGATGATTATTGACTAAGGTAATTGCTTCAATAGAACTTAGACATGTAGGCAGATGGGATCTAGGATTTAACTTTTATGGGTTTAACCTTTAAGGTTCTTAGTATTGAATCCATTATATCCTAAAGTTATGAGTTCATATCCATAATTTATTGCGATTTTAGTGGTTTTTTGTACTTAAATTTGTTCTCTGCGTCGAAAATTATGAGTTTAATTGAACACGGTGTTATAGAGCTACATCCGCCCCTGCTTGCAGGTCCAATCTGAAAGCTATTGCATCTCTGGTCGATGATGAAGCATGGCGAAGCTGTGTGGTTTCTATGAAGCAATTATGCCTCAGAGGGTGCAAAGGTTCCCTTAACACGATGGCCTTAGTCGCTACTAACAAGCAATTGCCATTGGGTACTTCACAAGATTGGCGAGAGCGTTTTAAGAATAAAAAATGGCTGTTTCTCTTACTTGGATTTAGGTTGCTCTCAAGTGTTCAGAATTACACAATTAAGCCGACAATAAAACATTAAAATATTCGTGACACAGCAGAGAAATTGATAACTCCTCTATTTTAGCTAGCATTTGGCCATGGATTTCCAAATTGTTTTGAAAAATTTGATTTGGGCGAAGTTTGATTTGAAGATGAAAATATGTTTGGACATACATTTTCAAAATATATTTCCCAACTTTATTTTGGAAAAACATGTATATAATTCCCAAGTTTTGGGATTTTGGCCCAAAGTCAGCAATTAGGGTAATTTTGGGATTTAGAATTTTGGCAAAATGTGGGCAAAATTTATGGCCAAACATGAGTTTGCCAAATAAATTTCAAATTTATTTTGGCAAAACTCATGGCCAAACGGATATTAATGTTGTGACTTGTGCACAGCAAACCAGTCAACGACCACACTTGGCAAATAGGTCGAATAATTGTTTCTTCTTTACTATGACCACACACACAAAAAAAAAAAAACAAAAAAAAAGAGAGGAAGAATTATACAAAATGAAGCGAACTCCCAGGTTAGCTCTATGAATAAAAAATTTTCCTTCAATAAATACCAAAAGAAGATCCTATATGGATGTGTAGCAGGTAAAGGTATTGTATATTTTATATTTTATTTTTAAATTTGTAATATACTTTGGGAGATATTTTATAGTAGTATTTACGTTAATATCTTACTCGTCGGAGAGGCTTTCAAAACAGAAGTACTTAAGGTTGGAGGATAACTCACATCAGGGGGCAAGAGATCAAATTTTTTACCTACATAATATTCCGCTCTTCTTTCCCCTTCTCTCCACTAATAATTAAAAAAAAAAAAACTGTCAAAAAAGGAGAGATTCTTAAAAAGACCAACTTTTAGGTTGATAAGGATTAAAAAAAAAAAAAAAAGACCACGTTGAATCACCTCATCTTTTGCTGCGGTCACATAGTCAAACCTCTCTATAATAGCCTCTCGTTTATTCCGAAATTTTTGGTTGTTACAGTGAAATGTTTTTATTGAGGATATATATTATAACATAACAAAGTATTCGGTTCCGAGAAAAATTCCGCGTTTATAGTGAATGATTACTCCCTCTATTCCAATTTATGTGAACTTATTTCCTTTTTGGTCCGTTCAAAAAAGAATGACCCTTTTTAAATTTGGTAACAAATTAGTTTAAACTTATAATTCTACTCTTAATGAGAAGCTTTTATAATCACACAAATACTCTGTGCCCCTTTTTGACTTATTTAGGACCATAAATTCCAAAAGTCTTTATTTTTTTAAACTTCGTGCTCAATCAAACATGTTCACATAAATTAGAATGAAGGGAGTATTACATAAGGATGTTATTATAGAAGGGTCTGATTGTAATATACTTTCTCTGTTCCATTTATATGAATCTGTTTGACTTGACACGAAATTTAAGAAAAAATAAAAACTCTTTAAATTTATGGTCCTAAACAAGTAAGAAATGTCCAGAATGATTATAAAAGCTTTTTAATGTCTCTATTTTAAGGTGTTATGTTTATGAGCTCTGTTATGTGGCAGATTTTTAGTTGACATTCAAGGATAGTGAGGGGCCTAAGACAGGGATGTCCCAACGCTTAGCTGCTATGGTCCAGCACTACAATCGGCCAAGCATGAGCAGGAGGAATAGTGACCCTTGGCCGCTAGCGCTTATCAGCCGATTTGCTATATGACATTCACATGTCGTATCAACTGATTTATATGTATATACATTTAAAAAAAGTTTATTGATAGATTTTCTAGAAGTTCTTCTATAAATATCATTTTCACCATTAATAAATGTTCATTTACTAATCATTTATTGGAACAAGGGGCGAAGCCACCTTTTACTAAGAGTGGTTAACCTTCATCAAAATATTTTGAAAAATTACACTGTGTATATAAAAGTAAAATATTGATTTTAGATGTTTAAAATATATATTGAACATACTTTGTCAGAAATTTTTTTTAGTTCTTTCAAGTCTAGCCACTGATTGAAATCACGAAATATCTCATCTATATTAAGTTTATTTTGTAGTCTTGATTCTAATAAACATGATTTGATTGAGTTCTTAAATAACCTATCCGAACTTAACTATGGGTTTATTTGGTATGACGAAAAATAACTTATTTTCTAGTGTCCGGTTGTTAGAAAATATCTGCCAAGGAAATATTTTCCTCGAAAAGGGAGAAAATGAATTCCTTCACTTTTGGGAAGAGTATTTCAACTCTTAATTTTATATATTCCTGCTTTAATCAACATTTAATTTTATTATAAATCATTAGCACTAAAAAGTTTCATTAATATCCTATCCGATTTACTAATATTATTATCAATTAGAAAATGCTTTTTAATAAATATTTTTTATTCGCCAACCAAATATCAAAAATATTTTTCATAAAATCAGTTATTTTTCAGACAGCATTTTCGAAATATAACTTTCATTATTATCGAACACACCCTTAATTATGAATTGTCTCATAAGTCCTACCTTTTAAAAAAACATAAATAAAGAATAAAAGAATTGTAACCTTAAATCTATTACGAAATCTCTTCCTGGTAACAAATACTCCTACCTTGATATCCATAATAGATTTGAGCTTGAGACCCACAAGTACAGGTGGTTGAAGAAAATGAATTATGATAGCTCAAATGGGGTCCAAATGAACCGTCCATATCCACCTAATTCTTATGAAATCATTACATAATTTACAAATGGCAGGACATTAAATTACTATAGCTTTTAGCAATTAGCACAACTCTTTGAAAACGAAACATGTCTCTCTCCTTCTGTCTACACATTTTTGTATCATTCCTCACCAACAAATCCAAAATANGGGGGGGGGGGGGGGGGGAGGGGGCAATTAACTTATTTTCTATTTTTCAGAATGTTTTAGAAGAAATTCATCACTTCTTGGTGGTCCATCTGATGAACTATGTATACTAGAGGACCCTGTCCCTGTAGTTGTGGTATAAGATTCATCTAATTTAAAGAGTGTATTTGATGAGACTAAACTTCTTATGCTGGATTTAAGAGAGCCGCCAGCTAATAAACTTGAATTTAAGAAAGGTGGTTGGCATGGTTCTGGAATTTGACAATCTTCACATGTTAACATTTGGACAACTTCAGTCATTGATGGTCTTAAAGCGACAGAAGCTTGAGTGCATAATAGCCCTACTTTTAGAACCTTTGATGCCTCTTCTGGTGGAAAATTACCTTTCAATAGAGGGTCTAATGCTTCAGTAACTTGATTTGTTGTATAGAGTTTCCACACCTGAAAAATAGAATGATAAATTTACTAAGTTCCAGCAAATTCAAGTTAATACTGACAAAGAACGGAATAATATCATGTATGGTTACTGAATTTTATTCACTATAACGGTAAAGTCGCAAAATTGTATTTTGTCATATTAAATTAATTGAACTTTACATGCTGTCACATCGCAGACACAAACTTTTTGTTGAAGTTCTTGAAGTTTACGCACAAATTTTTTGTTGAAGTTCTTGAAGTTTACGCACTATGACAATACAACAATAATAACCCAGGGTAATCCCATAAGTGAGGTCTGAGGGGATAGGATGTTCGCAACCTTCTACCCCTATCTTGGACTGGCAGAGAGATTGTTTCCGATAAACCCTCGGCTAAAGAAAGAATAGAAGAAGCACTAATAGCAAATAATAGCAATACAAAGTATTTATAAAACAAAACACAAAAGATGGTAAAAGAGAATATGAAAAAAAATACTAATAGTCACTAATAATAGTATTTTCTCAGTATGACAATAACATTACTAAATCTTATCCACTCTAAACAGAAAAGCCGCCTTGATGGGTAGATGTTGTAGTTATAGTAGGTAAATTTAGTGATTTTATTATTGTAGAGAAATTTTACTGTTATAGTAAGTAAAATTCAATTTAACGTAACAAAAAATAATTTTACGACTTTACCGTTATAGTGGATAAAGTTCAGCGATCATAGATGAAATTAACAGTAAGGAAAAAATTGCAGCATTCTTACTGTTTGTAGTAGAGATCCAGAGTCCTCAGCAAAGGCAATGTTTTTTCTGCCACAAACAATTTCAAGAACAAGCACTCCATAACTATAGACATCAGCCTTTTCTGTTAGCTGTCCTTTTACTAGGTATTCAGGAGCCATATATCCTCTGTACAACCAAAAAAAAAAGAAATTAAAAATCACAATCCAAGTAAAAAGAGAGAACCATTGTTGGTGAATTGTAATGAGAAATGTATTTTTTTTTCTTACAATGTGCCAGCAATTCCAGTGCTAAGATGAGTTTTATCAGCTGCAAAACACCGAGCAAGTCCAAAATCAGCGATCTTTGCTTCAAGATTTTCGTCGAGAAGTATGTTTGAACTCTTGATGTCCCTATGAATGATTCTGATTTCAGAACCTCCATGTAAGAATGCAAGGCCTTCTGCTGTTCCAACTATAATATGGAAACGTTCTTCCCAACTTAGAATCTTTATCTTGCTCTTGTCTACATCAGAAAATATTCAAGAACTCAGTTAGAAGTCTGCATTTTGTCACTACATAATTACTTGGAGATGTAAATGTAAGAATGATGCAGCTACTGTAAATGCAACAACAACAACAACAACAATCCAGTGTAATCCCACTAGTGGTGTCTTGGGAGGGTAAAGTGTACGCAGACCTTACCCCTACTGTTGGGTGGGCGAACAAAGTCCCACATTGGTAGCTGAAAATACTGGGGGCCTACATATAAGGAGTAGAGATCTCTTCCTGGTGTGAGGCCTTTTGGGGAAAATCGTGCGGGCTTGTCCCAAAGCGGACAATATCACATCATGTTAAGAGTGTCCTTGGGCTAGTTTTTGGTAGAATGCAACTACTCTCAATCTATGAGAAAAAAGTAATTTCTATATGATCACTAAATTTTATTCGCTATAACACTAAAATTATAAAAAAATTGTCACGTTGAAGTAACAGAAATTTTATTCACTATAACACTAAAATTATAAAAAATTTGTCACGTTGAAGTAACAGAACTTTACTTGCTACAACTGTAAAGTCACTAAATTATACCCATTTAACAGTATAATCATAAAACTATATTTTGCCATATTAAATTAACTGAACTTTATCCACGACAACATAAAATCATTCAACCTTTTCCACTATAACGACAAAAGTTGCCTATCAAGGTGATTTTACTGTTATATATTGGGTAAAGTTCAATTACTTTAATGTGATTACAAAATAACTATGACTTTACTTTTAGAAGCAAAAAAAAAATAGCTTTAAGACAGTATCGTTATAATGAGTAAAGTTTAGTGACAATACGTGAAATTAATTCAGAAAAAAAAAAATGAGAAAGAGAATTACCAAAGAGGTATTGGTCCAAGCTCTTATTTGGCACAAACTCATATACGAGCAAGCTCTCGGGGCCTTCAATACTGCAACCCAACAACTTAACAAGATTTTTGTGTTCAATTCCATTGATTAGATTAACCTCATTGAAGAATTCATCAACCCATTGTCTTGTATTGAAAAACAGTCTCTTAACTGCAATAACATTTCCATTAGGCAGAGTTCCTTTATATACAGAACCATTTCCTCCTTGGCCTACTTTAGTTGATGTATCAAAGTAATTTGTTGCCTTCTCAAGATTTTCATACTTATAATTCAAGCTTGATCTATTGTATGAACTCGATATTTTGCCAAGATTAATGCGTTCTGCGACAATGCAACCAAAAAAATTACATTACTTTCTGAACTTACGTAACGTTATCAACTTAACAGTATAGTCACAAAATTATTTTATTTTAATATTATGATGATAGGAATACCTCGTTTNGGGGAGGGGGAAGAAAAGTCTAAAGATAAAAGTCAAAAAGGGGCACAGAAAGTAACGTAGCCAAATTTTGACAACCAAATTCCTAATTTTATAATAGGAAAAGTTTGAATTGAAGGTCATGAAACTTTAGAAAAATATGGCATTTCAACGTTACATTATACTAATTAATTATGCCGTCAAAAGAAAATCTAAGTAATAAGAAAATTTGACCAAAGGTGGATGCAGCCATATTTATTGGGTTTACCTGCCAATATATATATGCTCTACTAAAATTTCAAAAAGTATTAAATTCTCAACTTGTAATTTTAAAAGTATAACGTTTCAGTGTTAAAATCCTTAAAATCATTTTGGATTCCGACTAAAACATGAAAGTGGTCTGGCCCTCCCACCGGGCTGTCTTTTTTTACTAAATCATGAAAGTGAAAAAGTGCTCTTGAACCAAATTCACCTTGATATGCTAGTAATTTTTCCAAAAATCTAGTATTAATTACACAGAAAACTATAATTTCTATTGTGAAATGAGGAAAAATACGTACCACTACTATTACCCTGAGATGGTTCATTGAGAAAATCTTGAGTAGAATACCTCAAATAACAACCAGCAATTAAAGCTCTAGCATCTCTACTAGGAAAACATCCTTTAATTTCTCTACTTGCTTTATCCAAACACTCCCTACAACCTTTTTTACTCACAGTTTTCCAACACTGTGCCAATCCATAAACTCCGTTCAAATGCGCCACCGCATAACCACCGTTCGCCACCGCCGTCCCCGTCAAATTAGTAATCAAATTACCAGCAGTAACCGTTAACGTGGTCAATTCCTGTCCACTAGCCAATCCAATTGAGCTACTACAATTCACTTTATCTTCTTTCGAATCAGTTGTTTCATTGAAAAAATCATAAATATCATAACGAAGAAAACAACCGTCGAGATAAATTCGACCAGATTTACCAGGAAGACAACGTGGTAGCCTCGTACGACTTGCTGCGTAACATAAAAGACAATCTGTACGAGGAAGATCTTCATAACAATTTGCTAAAGCGAAAATTGATATATTTGTTGAATTTACGCCGTGACTTCCCCAACCTTGTTCCGGTACTCGCTGTGAAACAACTTCCATTAATTTCACGAACTGAGGAATTATCACAGATGGTGATGTTCTGTTCGTACCACAGACAAGTCCAGCTTCTGAAATCCGAGGATCCGCTTCACAAATTAAACCAAAACTAACCAAAAATATCATGATCCATTTTAGAAATAGAAAATTTAAGCTAGAAAAATTCATTTCTTTTTTCGAAAGGACACCAGCAAGCTGCTACTGAATGCGAACAAAGTAGACTACAAAGGCGAATGGCGAAGCGAACCAGATTCTGCTTCTCCTTCGCCTTTCTTTATGTTATAGTAATAAAAATAGAAAAACAAGAAATGGTAGTTGGAGATTTCGGAGGGAGAAGAGAGGAGGAAGCTATGGTTTGAAGCCAGAGAAACGAATAAATGTAGTAATTTTTTTTCTTTTTTTGAGTGTTGTTGTTCAAAAATGATTCGTATACTTTACAGCCAACATTTGTGTGCTACGTTCCTCTTTTTATGTGTTCCCATTTGCTAAATTTGGATTAAAAGTCTTTGTCTGCTTCTGCCTACCCTGATTTTATTAAGGTCCATTTTATAATTTATAATTTATAATTTATAATTCTTTGGAAATAATTTTAGTCTTTAACATATTCTTTATTCCTTATCTACTTGCTAATGGAGTATATCTAATACTACTTGTTTATTGCTCAAGTCATAGTCATTAGTCAATTAAATGGTTTCTTGGTTGAATGTGCGTTGCCCCTTCATAATAGTCATTTAAGAAGTTTCTACCTCCCTAAGAGTGTTAGTTTAAAAGATTTTATTTATAGTATATACCATAGTAAAATGAGAAAAATCACATCCACAATTCCAGACCAAGCTTAAATCCTTACCAAAATGAAAATTCTAGCCAAAGGACTAAAAAGAAATAAAACTAACAAAATGAAAAGAAGAAAAAAAAACTTAAGCGGAGCGGGGTGGGTGGACGCGGGTGTGAGTGCGAAGTGGGTGGACGAGGGTGAAAGTCTATGCGGAGCGGGGCGGGGCGCGTTGAAATTTTACGGGTTAAAACAGAACCCGCCCGCACCTGCACTGCACCGTACCACTTGCCATCCCTAGTAGTACGCCATGAATAAACATGTTTTTCTCCCCAAGTAAGAAAATAAGAAAAATAGAAGGGAATAAAAATAAGTACACAATTAAGAAGAGAAATATCGAAAGAAGGAAACTTGTCCAAAAAGAATCATGTATTTCATATACATCACTAATGACATCTTACATGGCTACCAAAAGCCAAAAAATTGTACAAAAAGAAGAAGATGATGAAGAAGAAAAATAATTACACAATAAAAAGAAATATAAAAGAAGGAAAATCAAGTACTTGATACATCACTAATGACATCTTAGTGATCTTAATTACTGGGCTACAAAAAGCTATAATTGTAGATGTAAAAACATACGATAGTCAAGTGCTCATACCTGTCAACATAATGATAAATGGCGAAATTCACGTGGTAATATTATTATAACGAAAACAAACAAAAAATGATTCCTAGGTTGCACCTATGATCCATATATTCCACACCTCTGTCGGATGATCATACGCAAGTTAATGGTAGGTATTATATGCTACATTCACGTTTTATTTTATTCTTATATATACTGATAATATAAAGTAATTTTAATATTGTTATTATAGCTCAACGTACTGTAGCAGATTGTCAGTCTTATTTTTTCATTACTTAATATATATGTATATTCATTGGTGACTTATAGCCCGTTTGGCCAAGCTGTAAAAATCAGCTTATTTTGAGAAGTGTTTTTTTTTTTTTCAAAAGTGCTTTTCTCAAAAGTACTTTTGGTGAGAAGCAGTTTGTGTTTGACTAATTAGTTTGAAAAGCACTTCTGAGCAGCAATTAGTGTTTGACCAAGTTTTAAAAAACTGCTTCTAAGTGTATTTTTCTCAAAAGTGCTTATCAAAAAAGTGTTTTTGGAGAGAATCTACTTTTTTTTTTTGCTTCTCCAAAACTGCTTTTGTTTCTCCTCAAAAGCACTTTTTTTTCCTTCCAAAAGCTTGGCCAAACACCTCAATTTTTGGCCAAACAGGTTATTAGTAATTTTTGTTCGGCTGTAGATGCAAGTTTTCCCTATTGGAGAAGACTCAATACTAGAAATTCGGCAAAAATCGACCCCGGGCGACCGACCGACTTCGGTCGGTCGGTTTTCAAAATATTTTATTTTTTATTTTTTTTACGAAACCGACTGACTTCGGCCGATTTTTTTGGCGCAAAAATGCAAGAATCTACTTTAGCATGCCTCAAAATTTATTTTTTAAGAAACCGACCGAAATCGTCGGTTTTTCATATAAAATAAATTAAAATTAATATTCAAAAAACCGACCGGAATCGGTCAGTTATATCAGTCAGTTATTTTAAAATACCGACCGACTTCAGTAGGTAATTTTATATTTTTAATAAAACCGAGCGCAATCAATCGGTTATTCTCGCGCGAAAATAAGATTAAAGAATACAAATAAATTAAAAGAAAGTCTTAAAAACAATATGTACCAATAGTCTAGTGGTAGAATAGTATCATGCCCTGGTTCGAGTCTAGACGCTGCATTTTGTAATTGCATAATTAAAAATACCGACCAACTTCGGTCGTTTTTTTCGGCAGATTTTTTCTTTTTGAGTCGTTTGTGAAAATTAATTTACCAACCGAAATCAGTCGGAAATTGCGACTGACTTCGATCGTTATTTTTTACCGACCAACCTATTTTCGACGTATTAAAGCGGTCGGAAATCGATCGATTTTTTTAGTTTTCAAACCGATTTCGATCGATATTTCTGAACGATTTTAGGCAGTTTTCTAGTAGTGACTAGCCTTTTAATGTTCATAATGATTTTTTTTTGGGGTAACGATCGAGTAGCCAGTTACAGTAGTACGTACTCCTTTTGTGTTCCAACTATATGGTACTCTTTTAATTTTTCAACATATCAAAATATGTCCATTAACAATCTACGTAGTTTTACACGACTTCCGTAAATTTCAAGAATTTTAATTCATTTAATCAATTGAATTAACTCTGACATGATAAGTTCTCTATTAAACTAAATTTTCTAATATATATCGTCAATTGTCACTTATAACGTATAAGTCAAATTGAAATTTTTTTAACTCCATGTCCATTGAAATGCTGAATATGAAAAAACTAATTAATTCTTGGTAATCTTTCTTTAGCCAAAGTGTCAACCATGATGCAAAAAGACAATATAGTAGTTGAAACAACCTACCAAATTTTTTTTCCTGAAAAAAGATGAGGACAAGAAATTAAGAAAAAAAGAAAAACACACACCTAGACAAAATCCACACACAAATATTAATATATAACATTGCTTTTACGTATAAATACCTCTTTATGAGGCAATTGTTGGAAGAGAACTGTGCTACTATTTAAGTAGAGGTCTCGAGTTCGAGCTCCTGGGTATGCAGTCGTCGTTGTTAGGGAGCGGTTTATCCTTCAATGTGGGATTTCCCGGCGCGAATTCGGATTAGTCGGGCCCCAATTTGGGTACCGAATACCGGGTGAGAAATCAAAAAAAAGAAAAAAAGAAAAAAAGAAAGAAAGAGTAGTAGATACATCGTTCTCGTTGTTTTTCTTCAGAATTACTTAAAGATAGAAAATAAAAAATCCCCTCTTTGTACTGAAGGAAAATATACCATTTTTGTCCTTCATTTTCTCCTGCTCCTTCTTCTGGAAGGAATAAAAAATATAGAAGGGATCATAGAAGAATGCTTCTAATTATAGCAATATATTATTAGGAAGATGAATTGAATGTCAACTAACGACGACAAAAGAAAACTCTTGTCTTTGTAATTACGTTATTATATATATTTCTCTATATATCCCCGTTACTAGGGGTGTATATGGACCGGGTTGATTCGGTTTTTATCAAAACCAAATCAAACCAACTATATCGGTTTGGATTAGTTCGATTTTGTCGGATTTTTCAGGTTTGCGGGTTTTTTTTGTTACATGAATATTATTTCAATCTTACTTTGTTAAAATTATAGATAAAGTTTTGATAAGTGAATATATGTATAGTAAATATGGAAAAAATTGACAAACATATGATTTATTAAAATATTCTAATGGGAGAATTTTTTTAGTAATACGTGATAGTTATTTTCTTAGTCGTTTAACTATAATTTTTCGTTAATTTACGCTTTCAAGGTTAATACATGAGAGGATCCCAAATATTTCCACGTTTTCTAAAGAAAATTCACTATAAAATTTTAAAAATATAAATAAAATTTATATATTTATATGTCGGTTTGGTTCGGATTTTTTTTCTCAATACCAAACCAAGTCAAACGAAACCTAGTCGGGATTTTTAATCGGTTTGGTTTGATTTTTCGGTTTGATGCAGTTTTCCGGTTTGGTTTGAACACCCCTACCCGTCACCATTTCAATAGCAGAAGTTATTGACTAACAAAGTACAATACATTTTTGCAGGATAATTTTTTTTACTTTTATTGTCAAAGTAAAAATTTCTGACTTCATCCATTACTGTTCCAATAAGTTAAAAGGAAATTAATTCTTTTCTTCCTAGTTTTTATTTTATCCGTCTTGTTTGACAAGTTCGAATTTTTCCAAACAGAAGCTTCTGTGTAAATATTATTATTATTATTTTAAAGAAGCTTCTATGTAAGTTGTTTTGTTTTGTAAATAATACCTAAGGTAAGAGTCTGCATTGGAAAAGAAAGATGGAGACAGAAGAACCTATAAAATTGAAAATAGGACCTAGAAAAGACTAACCAATGAATTACCGTGTTATTTGTGCATTATGTCCCTTTACAATTTTAAAATTAAGTAAATGATATTTTTCGATCTTTTATATGTAAATAACATATTTCGTAAGTATAAATAACAGATCTCCTACGTGTAAAAGTAAATCTCTCATATATAAAAATAAAAAAGGTAGAACCGTAAAATTAAAAATAAATTTATAAAGAGCCACAAAATCAATTGACCCGAAATTACGTACTATGCAATTTTGGAGCCACCTACTTAAACATAGGGAAAAACCCAAGTACAATAATGATTGTTTATATGTGTAGTCCTAGTCTTAATTTGGACAGTTTTGTTTACATTTTTTTCCCCTTCTAATAATTTCCTTTCTTTTGAACATCGGATCAGACATTAAAAAATATCTAGGAGCATATTATACAATTCATAAAATTTAAAGAAATATATATAAAAAGAAATTAATTGAATTTGTTCAAATAGATTACATCAAAAACGTATCAATTAGACTAACACAAACAGATTAGTTCAAGTAGGCAGATTACCAAATAATACACTCAGAAAAATTAAATCGTTTAATCCAATTTTGACAATAATCAATGTGAGGCACTTGATTTGAACATCAAGGCCACACCCATTTGCTTTAAATTGCCTCTGCATATTGCCTTTTGGAAAAGAACACAGCTGGAACTTGTTTAGG